GGCTGAGAGAAGAGAAAAAGAAAGTGATAATAAGCCCATAATGGCAAACTTTCTGAAAGGGATCGGAGTGAACAAGAGAAAAGACAAAAAGCTTCAATGATAGGAATTGAAGGCGAAAACAAATTTTTGTGTGTATGTGTATGTGTGTTTCTATTGTGCTTCTTCAGAGGTAGAAAATGATAGAGAGAGAGATAGAGAGGGAGAGAGAGAGAGAAGGAGCAGATAGGATGAGATGTACACGCAAGTAAGTGTATAGAAAGAGGTAGGTAGAGTTGGAGGAGGGAATGAGAGAGTGAAAGAAGCAAAATGAACGTGTTGTTCGTGTTTAATCAAAGTTTTGAAATGAATTTTTACACGAAAATAAACAAAAAAAAGTATTTTGTTGGAGTTTGGAGGGATGGATAGAGAGAGAGACAGGGAGAGAGAGACACACATAGAGAGAGAGAGAGAGCTCATTCATATCATTTACGAATTCGACAATTTTCTGAAGTTTGATGGCAATTTTGGTTGGAGGGAAGGTAGAAATGGGAAAAAAAGAAAAGAAAATCGCAGAAAACAAAAACAATTTTTATGAAAATTATAATCTTTCGAAGGTTTTTCAATGGAAACTGCAGAGAATGTGAATGAAAACAGTTTTTAAAAAAAAATAAAAAGAGCATGTAACATCAAGCCATAAAAGGCGAATTTCGAAGAAGATGAAGCCCGAATAAGGAGAATATCGGCGCTTTGCTTCTTCCATCTTCGACATTCAGAGCAATAGGCCAAATAGGGAAAGAGAGTAAGGCATTCAGAGCATCTATACAGAGAGAGTGATAGATCATTCAATTGCATGAGAGAGGAGAGCGACATGAGCTGGAGATGTAGGGAAGGCAAAAGCTTTGAATGCATGATGGCAGAAGCAGAAACGAGAGAAACTAGTAAGTATGGCTGACACAGAGAGCAGGACATATCCAGAATCATTGAAATATTACGCAAATAGATGAGATTCTGGAGCAAAGAAGCTGTCACAGTCTAAGACGCTGTCAGTAATCGAATGTGGGCGGAGTTACATGTACATGAGATATAATGGGAAACGATGAGAATGAAAAGATGAAAAGAGTTTGATGCATGAATGCTTTATAAGGATAGAGAAGACGGAATGATCTGAGGGGGTGTGAGTTGTATAGCGAAAGAAACATTTATGCTAAAACACAAATTTCAGCACAAGACTCTTCTGATTGTTGTCAGGACGACCGTCACAATTACCAAAGAGCTTCTCTCCATCATCTATCCTCAAGTGTTGATCTCGTAATGAGGAAAGAGTAGAAGAAGCAAAAAAAAGAAGAAAAAAGAAGTCAGATAGAATAGATAAGATTAGAAATATATTTTATATTCTCATTTTACTTATATAATCGTCTTCATTAGCATATAAGCTTCTTCACGCACCTTTCACGTCACGTAGCAACTGACGTCATCATCTACGCCACGTCATTTCATCATTTACGATCAAAAAGCAGTGCAAAGAGCGGTTGTTCATGTAATTAATAATCTTCAGATGGGGGATATTTTAAATAATTTATATTATTTTAAGAATTATGAAAATAAATGAATTTAAATGTTTTCTGATGTTCACATGTTCAAAACAACACGACGACCCTAACAGATCTGATTTCTTGACTCTTCTAATATGATGATGAGTTCACCTCAGTGATCTCTACTTGTTACCTCCTTCTTTTCATCTCTTTCTCTAACTATTTCAATCCATCTCTCTCTTTCTTACCTTATCTCTCTTTCAATACCTAATTCAACGCATCAAACTACATTCTCTTCTACTATCATATGATCCTAGAGATTCTGGCAATTTCAATCAAAGAGAGAGGATGATGTAACACAGCCAATTGATTAGAAAAATGAAAAAAATGAATTTCATTCTAGAAACACCAAAAAAACAAAACCAAAATACAAAAAAGGACTGAAAATGTTTGTATGAGGAAGCTCTATGGATATTCAGAAACTGGATTTTCGCGCTCTTCTCTTCTGTATTCAGATGATTGAAGTTGACTGATTGATCTGAATTGGAAAATATTAGAAAAAAATATGAAATTTTTAAAAATATTTGATGAGATCAAAACGGAAAATATCATTTTCGGATAAAAGAGCAAGATGAAGAGAGAGAGAGAGAGAGGTAGATGAATAGAGACTAATAGAGAGAGAGAGATATGAGCGGGAATGAAAAGATTTTTTAAAATCTCGAAGATCATTCATCGCCACGGAAGATTTCATGTTTTCATCCCTAAAATTACGTCAACAATTTATTAATAATATATAAATAGTTTGTTAACGACATGTATTTCATACCTTACTTCCATAATCCTTAATTATATGGTATAATTAAAAAGATTTTTAATCCAGATAAAAACTGTTTTTGATGCCATTAACCGCCTACCCCCCCTCCATCACCTCACAACCACTTCAGTCTTCTCACCATTCACTTAGAGTTTAGGAGAGAAAGAGAACCAAAAAACCTCGTAAAATTACCACCTAAATAAATGAAATTTGTGTTTCTTTTTTTAAACACAAAAATTTATTTATTTCTCCTTTTTGGCATCGTAATTCATAGTACCACCCTCTCTCTCTCTCTCTTTCTCTCTTAACCTTCTCTCTTTATATATGCTCTTTGTTATCTCAACTGATTTTGCACACACATACACCCTCAACCCCCTCAATTTTCATACCATAACCCCCTTTTTGCTTCTGTCGGACCATGAATTATCTTCGTTGAGTTAGGTCTTTCATTGGAATTTTATTTTTTTTTCTTCCTCCCACTTCCACATTCCTTCTTAGTTTTCATGTGCGGTGACGTCGTCGTCATCGTCTTCTCGTTGTGATTTTTGAGGAAAAAAGATTTTTTTGGGAAAGCTTAAAACTTGACCGAAGTCTGTTTTCCTATAAAGAGAGGAAAATAGAGAGAGAGAGAGGGAGATATAGAGAGAGAGAGAGAGAGAGAGAGGGTGAAAAGGAAAACGTATGAGAAACAAAAGGAGATATCTCATCTATTCTACCCTCCTCTATTTGAGACTTATTTTTAGAAAAAATTTCTTAAAAGCTTTTAATTTTCTTCCTTCTTTGTTCTTTGAGTCGTTTAGTCATACAAAAAAACTTTTTTTTTTCTTCTTTTTGAAAGTTTACTTTACAAACTCTCTATTCGACTCATTTTGATGAATTTATAAGTTCAACTTGTCTGACAGCTTTAGCATTTAATTTTATTTTAATTTGACTCTCAATATTTCCGGAAAAGACAATTTTCTTTTTTCAATCGACAGAGATCTACACAGAGAGAGACAGACTGAGAGGGAGAGAACCAGAGAGACTAAGGCTTACACTGATGTGTTCGGAAAGAAAAAAAAACGACCGCTAACTGGCAATGTCAAATGAAAAATGAACTGTTTTCATTTCACGTTCTCGTCATCTCCTATCACTCGGCGTCGACTCTCGTCATAGTCCCAGCGAACTTCTTGTAAACTTTGTGTTAAAAGATATTTCTATATGGAATGCGAGAAAAAAGAAAAATTTTTGTGACGTTTGAGGTGGGAAGGATAGAGGGAACGACATGAGAATCGTGTCGCAAGCATTGCAATGTGTTTTTTGGGAGAATTATAGAATGTGCTGACGATGAAAGTTCACGTTTCCTTCTTCCTAATACGAACTGGCAATGATTGATTAAATTATTTTTTTTCTTTTAATTAAAAAAAAAATAATTTTTTTGTCATTTTGGTTTCTTGTTCCTCGTCATTCATCTCATCATCTTGTTGAGCTCCTTCATCTTCCCTTTTGCTGCCTACCCACTTGACCGTCTGGACCTAGCACATAAGCTCATGGGTGTTGGTGGAGGGAGAAAGAAAAGCTGAAAAACCTTTCTTTCCTTCTTCATCGTCAGTCCTCCAGATCATTTGACTGCAGAAATTGGAGAAAACTGAAGTAAAAGCTTGAGAAAATGTTTGATGATGACCACCCATTCAACCATTTCCTTTTCAGTTTTCAGTTCATAATTTCTCACATTTCTCTTTTTGACATTCCTTCAAGCTCTCTCTCTCTTTCTATCTCTTCCTCTCTCTACCTCATTCCTCAATGAATGCTCTCGCTAGATAGGAAACTTCAAAAATAATTCATTGAAAGCTTCTCCTCAGCTCCAAACCATCCACATAGAACAGACACACATTCTTCTATTTTAAATCAGCTTGTTGTAAAATATTTCACAAAAATTTTCTTATCAATTAGACGTTTCTCCCACGTACCTGACGTTCTTCATCAGAATTCCAAAATTACTTTCCAACTTTTCGTCGGAAGTTTCATTTCAGACTTCAAAATATTATTTCTTCCTTTCTTATTCGCAGCCGGTTAACATGTCTATATAGCATTCAGTTTTTCAATTTTTACTTTTTTAACCTCTCCATTGACAGAACAAAGAGAGAAAGAGAGAGAGAATGAGAGGGAGGGAGGGACTTATAGAGAGAATAAGAATGAGAAGGAGAGCTGATCCATTAGGCAAATGAAACTTTTATTTTTTTCTGAAATATACCATTGGAATAAGAAATTTTAAAATTTGTTTATCCTCTCTCCTTTTTTTTTTAAAAATAGTTCTCCACTTATTTGAGATTCATGGAAAATAGTCTTTTTGCTCTCGATCTGTCTCTCCATCCTTCTCTCCCCCCCCCTCTCACCCTTCTCTTCGTCTACATTAGGACAAACGGACCTTTGTTTGTTTTTTTTTCGAAATAAAAAAAGAAATATGTAAATTTTGGAAAATTAGAAGCTTTCAAGCTTCATGAGCGGAATCTGAATGACCAGCGTGCCCCCCCAGTCTCGTTTATTTTCGTGTTTTTTTACATATTTTTTGTGTCGACAATTCATTTTTACTTCTCTCATACAGGAACCGTCGGAAGATAAAGCCTACTCTCTGTAATAAGCTGAAAATGAAATATTTCATTTGCTTCTTCATGATTATATCATCATCGTTGGCCATGTTACCTTTAAGGCATACGAGCGCTGCATTAGCTTCTCGAGAGAAGTAAGCTTTGATCATGTCATTCTATCTGTCTTATTCTCTTATTTCTATTTTCAGAACAGTTTTGGATCCAACAGTCTTCATGACACCACCACGACGAGCCCTCGATGTTCTTTATCGGTATGTATGACTAATCGTAGATCTCTCTTTCATTCTTTGCTCTCTCTCTCTCTCTCTATCTCTCTCTCTTCTTCTCCAACTTTTTTCTTCAATTTAAACATTTCATTTTGCAGAGATTATAAATATCCGGATTTCCGTGGAGGTTCATTAGCTCAACGACCTCTTTTTGTCATTGATGGCCGTCTTTATCCATCTCCTTCCCGAGCATCTTAACTTCAACATGCTGTTACCCTCTTTCACCTTCTCTCTCTCTCTCTCTCCCTGTTTTCCTCCTTATATCTATCTATCTCACTCCTGTCTCACTGATTATTTCACATCTTCATTGTCAATCCGGTCGACGTCATCCATTTCCCTTCCACTTTTTTTGGAATAAAAATTGCTGTAAAGAATCTTCTCTCTTCAATGCCATCGTTCGACGTCTTCTATTTTTAGCCAATGTTTAAGCATTTTCATAGCGCCTCCGGCAATTTGAAGTGTTGTTGGTTATGAAAGAAGGCATTTGTTTGTAAAATTATAATATTATGTACATATAGTTATTATGAGAATTAAATCAATTATTCGGTACTGTTTCATTGAAATTCAGATGAAAGCGAACATCAGAAGTCAACAAAATGCTGAAAATGACTCTTTGAATAAGGAACATACAGACACACACATGCACACACACACACACACATACACATGTTCACACATGCATATACTCTATCTCTCTCTCTTAGTACTCCCTCTCTCTCTATCTCAATCCTTCTAAACTCTCTCTCTCACAAGCACTTCCTCTCTCTCTCTCTCTTCAAATTTTAAATAAAAATAAGTTTTATTTTTAAAAAAAAAGAGCTTAAAATCTGTCATTTGATTAATCTGATAAAAACTTCAAAAACAATTACAGCTTGTACTTGTTGAAATGTTTTGAATGAAAACATCTCGATCTATCTGATATCTGTCGAACCTTTCTTCTTTTCCTCCTACTCTTTCTTCACTTTTTCATTCTTTTCCCCTCTCTCTCTCTCTCTCTTCCTCTCTCTATCTCTCTCTCTCTTTCTCTCTAATACGTTCTTGTTATTTACTTTCATTAAATTGTTGATTTATTAATCACATATTCTGATTTCATTCACTCACACGTACGTTACGTGGAATCTGACGTGTCTTTATAGCTTACAACTCACTTTATCTCATTTAGTCGGAACAGAACGGTTGCTTTTTTTTTCTTCTTTCTATTTCGTCCCTCTCTATCACATTCCATTCCTCATTCCTCATTCCCTCTCTTCCTCTCTTTTCCTCTCATATACACTTGCTCTTCCTTTTACTCTTTACAATTATATTCATACTTACTTCTTTTCGTCTTTTAAAGCTTCAACCCATCACATTACGTCATATCCCAATATGTCACAAATGAAGCAGGTGGATAAGATACAGCTGACCGATGAAGCAGCAGAATGCGGAAACTACGGCCCCATGGAAAGTCCTTGTCATCTTCTCCAGTTCATGATGAATGTTCTTTCTTCCCTTCTACGAAACCTCCCAGCCGATTCTCTCTTAACTCCTTGTCACCACTCTTTCTCTCTAGTTCTTTTGCTCTCTCATGTTTCTATACCAATCTCAATCAAACTACATCTCTCTTTAATCTCCCTCCCTATAACCTCGGTAATCGATCTGTCATCTCTCTTTCGTTTCTCCAAAACTTCTTTTCTTCTTCATTTCAATCATTCATTCTAATCATTTGCCTACAATCTTCAGATTATGACGTCACACCCATACACACAGACAACTGTCGATCTTTTCGAAGCTCACACTGATGCCATTGATAGGTTGTTCACGACGTCATCTTTACGAGCTTCGTGTCATCATATATGGCTTGTTCCTATCCTCCCTCTCTGTCACTATTTCTTTAGAAAATAACAAAACAAAGTCAGTGTGTATGTGTGTGTGTGTGCGTAATCCTTTCAAGTCACCTTGTTCATCTAACTTTTCATAAATCCCAATGACACTCTACCACGTCATCTTCCCATTCCATTTGACTTACCAATGATTTTTATCAGTTTGCAATTTGTCAAATTCGTCGTCATTACCCGAAGAAGACATGTTTATCTTCAATTTTGCTATCTCTCATCTCTGCACGACCAATAAGTTTGACGAAAAAGCTTTTCATCAGATGACCCGCCATAACGTCCTTCGTGTCCGTTCATCTGTTTTTCTGGCTTCTTCCACCCCCTCTTCTCGTCTTCCCTCATCTCCTTACCCTTCCTTATCCCTCTCCATCTCACTTACTAACATAATTCCATTTTTAGCTTTTACTATTATTATTTCCTCTTCGTCAACCATTATCAACATTTATAAACTTTTTCTTCTCAGATTCAACTTCTCATTCATCGTCCCAACTCAATCAGCTTCCTCAAAATTGCTCTTCTCACATGAAAAATTGTTTTGTTCGTCTATCCGGCTGTTTGTTTCAAAAAACCTCTCCCTCTCTTCTCTTTCGTCAAAAATTCAAATTAGAAAAATGAAGAAGCATATCCTAACTCCGAAGATCTATTCATACAATGACGACGATCTCACTCACCATGTTGCAATTCGCTTTGCTCAGCATTGACGAACTTAGAAGTTCGTTGTTGAAAGAAATTTTTTTTTGTTCAACCATTGCTTCCTATTGCATCGCTTTGTCTTCTTTTTATCTCAATTGAATGTCTTGCGTCCTGTGATTAATCCCTCAGGCAATAGCTTCAGCTTTACCTAATCGAGCTCTTAACTGTCCCATCGCATCTACTCTCCTTCTCTCTCAGTATCTCTCTCAACCCGTCTTCTTAACATTCAATTTCAGTTGTTCCAACACAAGCTCCTTACGACTTCCAACATTTTTTTGTTTAAACGCGTTCATGTCTTATCTCTGTTTTTTATAATTTCTGACCACCCGAAAGACATGTATCTATCTGACGGCTGACATTCATTTTCCTATTTTTCCATCTGCTTAGTACATCTGAATTTGTTCGTTTTTATAGTTCTGACATGTCGTGAAGCTTTATGCTGTAGACGACCATGATTGACTGTCAATGTGCTGTCATCTGAATTTCATTTTTTTCTTCTTTTTCTTTTTTTTTCTCAAAATCATTTTTTCTGCTAATTCTTCGTCTTCTTCAGAAACATCAACTTCCCTCACATCTTTGATTTTGAGTAAAACACCGTAATCCCAGGATGAATAAGATTGTTTCAACGTCTTATAATGGTAAAAATCTTTTTCTTTTTATTTTCTCATTGAAATACCTTTGTCATATTGCTCCCCCGTTCACCCACGTTCAGTTGTCCTCAGATAGACTAGACAGTGAGAGAAAGATAGAGAGAGAGAGGGCAAAACGGTTTTTAACCTCAATCATACCTCTAACGAAATTCCTTATCAAATCTCAATCCAAAAAAACAATTTCTTTTGATAAGAGGTAGAGAGAGAGTAGAGAGAGAGTGGGAGAGAGAGAGAGAGAGTCATTGAGGGTAACATACAAACTATAATCCACTGATGTACTGGAATATAGAGTGAATGAATAAGAGAGAGAGAGATAGTGTGTATGAGAGAGATAGAGAGAGACTATAAAGAGAGAGTTAAGAAACAAATTTATTTTTAAGAAAGTCTGAAAAAGAATAATTTCATTCTTTTGAATTAATTTTCCTTTTTTCTCCGCTTTTCCTTCAAAATTTCTTTTCGGAATATCCTTTCGCCCCCTCACTTTCAATTTTTTCATTTCGAATTAAGAAAGAGGATTGTGTGTGCTGTGTGACAACAGTACATTCACATCTTCATCAAAATATAATTAAAAATTTCTTTTTTTCAAATCAAAATGAGCGCCAAAGAGATAAAAAAAAATTTTTTTTTTATCTGACTCTGTCCTCCCCCACTCACTCTAAGACATACTTGTTCGTTTATCCTTCAAAGATTGACAGTCTTTTTTTTTTGTTCATCTTCTAAGAGTTCCTTTTCAGAACCCACGCTTCTTCTTCTTCTTCTTCATCTCTTCCTTACTCTCTGTCACTTTCAGTCCTTTTATGTCTCCATCTCTCTCATCTCCTCACCTCTCTCTCTCATTCTCTTTCAGTTCCACCTCTCACAATCAAAGGGAAGCGAAGCTTTTCATAAAAGCTCCGCCTTTTGATAGAAATCGTCAAGAATCTAGGGTTCGAATACTCTTCGACGATTGAGTGAACACAAAAAAAAAAGAAAAAAAGAAGAAGAAGAAATAAAAAAAAAAAGATCTGAGAATACCATATTTGTCTTCTTTTTCTTTTTCTTTTCTTTTTGTCTTATCCTCCTGAATACCAATCATCTGATGCTTAGATTGTTGAAACGATTTAACATACCGTATGATTACTAAGATTGACCCCTATCCACGAGTAAGTTGTCATTTTAATTTCATTTTATAAAACTATTTAAAATGATTATCCTATGCTGTTATTAGCCTGTGTCAACTGATTTTCCAATTAGATTGATTCTCATTGAGAGACTTAACTTAACTTTCCTAAATTACATTTTCCTTCTTCTATTTGCATAACGTTCTAAATGCTTACCAGCTTACAAGCTATCAACTTGAAAGCACATGTCTTATCCTCATCACCACGTGAAAGCTTTTTCATTTGCAGCAGCAACTACCATATAAAGGAACTGTCTAATGTCATATCCAAATATCTATTTGAATTGTTGAAAAAACAAAATTAGCATAATCGTTTTGCAATTTGCAACGGATAAAGCCACACGTGGCTTTTCACGTAAAAAGCTTCCACACGTGATTTTGACGTAACATTTACGCAACGAGAATCATTTTCATTTGTTTCCATACTCAGACACGGTTGTATTTTTCGGAAGAATAGAAAAAGGATTTCATCCTTCCTATTGAACCTCCAAAATATTTTAACTTCCGATTTTGCCGTCTGTTTTGTAATTTACAAAAAAAAAGAAAAAAAGGAAAAAAAGAAGAAGTTGTTGTCTATCATCATTACAGAATGGATCAGGAGCATATAACGCTGAAGCAGACGTTCAAACAAATTTCGTTTCGTCGTCAATGGATAACGGGAGAGATGTTGAAACTTCATTATTAACAAATCACACAAGTAGAGCTTTACCTTCAAATAAAATAAGAAAAGCAGATGCTCAAAAAGTATGTTCTCATATTCCTTCCTCTACTTACTCTCCCCTCGGGGAGATAAGCCTATATATGGATTGATGATATTCTACTTGTTATAGTCATGTACCTGCCTTGGACCTCGGGTGTTTTTCGTTACATTCCTTTTCTTGGCTTTTCTTGTCATTTGCTCTTTGTATTTTTACAATGTCGTCACAGGTATTTACAAAAACGGAAAAGAGAAAGAGCGAGAGAGAGATGATCAAGTGATGGAGAATCAGAGATAATACCAGATAGAGACAGTGATAGAGAGAGAATGAGCGGGAAGATAGAGAGACAGAGAGAGAGAGAGGGTAGGGAATGACATGGGTGATTGTTTTTTTTCAAATAATTTTATTTATTTATATATTATTATTATTATAAGTATAATTTGAGAGCTTCTTCATCCAACCCACCCAATCAGCTTTCTCCTTGCTTCTTCATCTCCTTCCAAATGGGATTTGTGTATGTGTATGTGTGTGTGTGTGTGTTGAAAGAAATAATAAATCATCTATTTTGGAAGAATAAAATTGGAAGAGAGCAATTAAAAAGAACGGAAATGATGTGCCAAAACTGCACAAAAGAATATTCGGTTACTCTCTCAATCTTTCGACCTTCTGTGTTCCAAAATATAAAATAGAAGTGAAGAGGAAGAAGGGAGACAAGAGAAGTATGTGAGATAAGAGAGAAGGATAATGTAAAGTAGAGGAAGTATGATGAGACGAAGAAATGAGGGGGAGAAGATGAGGTTGCATGATGTATCTCATAAAGTGACGTGAATAGGAAAAGCTCATTCATAACCATCATTATAGTTTGTTCATCAAAGGACTGTATCATTAGTACAGCTCGTTTACTTTCCAATTTAGATGAAAATATTGATCCATGTACAGGTAAGAGGATCTCTCTCTATCTCTCTGTACCTCTCTCTCTCTCTCCATCTTCAGATTTCTATGAATATGCCTGTGGCGCATGGATCAACCGAACAGCTAACTTAAACTATGATGCTTGGAATACCTTGTATTCAGTTACATTTGCTGCTCATGATCGAGTCGTCAGAGCAGTTTTTGAACGTAATTTTATATTTTTTACAAAATTATTTTATTTTTAATTTTCATCTCCTCTCTCCAGATGGTGGTCGAGGCTTACCTCATAAATTGAATAAAGGAGAACAAAGTGTTATTCGAGTTTTCGAACAATGTGCTGATGCTGAATCGTTGGCTAAGATTGGTACAAAGCCAGTTAATGATTTGAGAAAAGTATTTTAAACTTTGAATAATTTATTTTAAAATAAAATTTTTTTGTAAATTTAGAAATTGGGTGGATGGATGCCAGATCTGGATATGCCTCGATCACGAAGAGATTTAGACGAACAATTATATGAATTGGATGATGATGATCAATTATATATTTTACTTAAGAAGACACAAGAACGACATCGTAGACAATCTAAAGTCAGTTACTATACTGTATAGTTAGCATAGTCTATGATATTACAGTTGATGGAGCCATTTGAAGATCAACTACTTGGATTTTTCAATTTATCCGTATTTCCGTTATTCTTTGCGGGAGTTCAAGTAAACTACAAACAGTCGTCAGAATATATAATAACGGTAAACTATATAACATATAGTTAATGAATAATATAAATGAAAACAGATATATGAGCAAGTACCATTGATGCCAGAAGCATCTGTATACAAAGAGCCGGAACCACAAGTTGAAGATCTTATGAATAACATGGGACCACATGTATGTTTCAAATAGCAGACATCTCATTTGGATATTCATTATGCATATTTCCTTTTTTAGCAAATTTTACTATATTTAAACACAGTTGGAAGGGAAATGGCTGAACTATTTGGAGAGAATTATGAAGGCTTCCAAAAGCGAATAGCGGAAATGATAGTTTTAGAATGGAAAATTACAAACTGTAGACAACCGGTAAGCATCTTCTTCTCACTCTCTCTCTCTCTTACTTACTATATCATATAAATTATCTGTTTTCATTTAAATATTCATTTGCAGCCATCTGAATTTTCCAATTACTATTATCAAATTATAACATTAGATGAACTTCAACGAAGGGCTCCCATGGTTAGTTGTTTCTATGTCTTTGCGATAAAGCTAGTGAGCACCTAGAGGATAGAAGAGTATAAGGAGAGAGAGAAAGAGACAGAAAGATGGAGGGAGAAGCTTTCAAAGAATGAGACCGACAGAGAGAGAGAAGAGTATTTCGGTTCTTCTGTAGACAAGAACAACTCTTGCAACAAATAGGTATGAAAGATGATTATGATGAAGAGATTGGGTGTCCCACCAACTTCTAAAGTTATTTTGTTGCAGCTTGACTGGAAGTATTTCCTATCTGGCTTGACTAACCATGAGTTATCTTCTGATGAGAAAATAGCTCTGAAGCCAGGCATGGCATGGATTGAACAATTAAGTCGAATCATTGGTTTGTTAAACATTCCCATCTTGGGTATTCATTTGGTTTGCAGAAGAATATCGTTCATCATTTGAAAAGCAAATGATCCTTCAGAGCTACATGAAATGGAAAGTGTTCGTTTACTTTCTTTCATATACACGTCCTCAGTGTGAGATTCAGCAGCTATGGGTAAGTGTCACATCATTTCGATTCGTATACTCTCGTGATCTATTTTTCAGAAATTCTTAACTTACTACTCTGGCCCACGTCATCTACGTAAAGAGTTCTGTATTCTAAGACTGTCTGGCATTTTTCCTCTTTCATCAGCCTCTCTTCTCAGAAAGATAGATGGACCAGAGAATGTTGATAAGGTCAGTTAGTCATTCAGCCTTTGGCTCTTTGTTTTCCTTTCATCTATTTTCCAAATATTTTCTTGTATTTCCAGACACGTCAAATGGTTTTGGAAATGGCAGAGTTTGTACGTCAGGAGTTATATGGAGAATGGGAAAATAGCAAAAATTTAGACGAAAAAACGAAAATGAACGTCTTGCAGAAGGTTTCCATAACACAGACATCTTGAGGATCTGCTCATTTGAATGTTAAGGTCTTGAACATGTCCATCCATTCGAGCTTTCCTGACAAGGCTCTTGATAAGGATGCAATGGAAGCTGAATCTTCAAGAGTTGGTGAAACGTTCTTTGAATCCATTAAGATTGGTGCATCTGCTGTCTATAAGGAAACTCTCAAACGGTTACGTCAACCTGTTGATGAGAAGTATGTCCATGTTGCCAATCTTGTTTCATCAAAATGTTTCACAGAGACTGGATAGATACTCGACCAGCATTATCTGCAATTCCTATCCATAACTACGAGAGAAACTTGGTACTTGTGCCCATGGATGTTCTCAATCCACCAATCGCTGATTATAAACAATTAGAGTATGCTATTCTAGATTGATTAACTTTCCATTCCTAACTATTGAAGTTCACTCAACTATGGAGCTATAGGAAGTTTCGTCGGCCATGAGATGAGTCATGCCTTTGATGCTGAAGGTATATTTTGGAATTTACCCAAAGAGAGAGAGAGAGAGAGAGAGAGAGAGAGAGAGAGAGAGAGAGAAAGAAAGAGAGAAAGAAGATATAGATTACAGAGTGAAGAGAGGAAAAGTAAAAGAGATGGTAGTCTAAGCTTATTTTTATCTTTTTCAATCTCTTTAGGAAAACAACATGGCCCAACCGGAAATTTAGAATGGAACGAATATTGGACCGAAAAATCTGCCCAAAACTATGAAGATGTCATCTCATGTGTGATTGAACATTATACGAATATATCTGGGAGGGAGCAGGTTTGGTTTAAGATAAAACAGTTCAAAGTTCATGTCCGTTCTAGGCAATTGTTTCAAGACGTGAAAATATTGCAGACATCATGGGATTAGAGATTTCCTATAAGGTTCAGCTATCTGCTTATATGGTTTTCAATATTCATTTAAAATTATTTCAAGGCGTGGAAAAAACACGGTAGAGATCGATGGGTTCATAGTACTGTTGGTGATATAACCCCGGATCAACGCTTTTTCTTATCCTTTGCCCAAAGTTGGTGTGCCTTAGATGGTCCTGGAATTCATCAAGCAGTTCATTCGAAAGAGAGGCAACGGTGACAACTTTCATACATCTCCTTATCATCCAATTATAATTCATTCATTTCAGGGTCATGGGTGCTTTGAGTAACTCGAAGTCATTTTCAAAAGCATACCAATGTCCTGTCGGATCGAGGATGAATCCTAAATCTAAATGCGATTTATGGTAAAGGAGGTTTCCTCTGTTAAGTACTATCTCCCTCCCTCCCTCTCTATCTATCTCTCTCCCTTTCTCTGTCTCTGTCTCTCTCTCTCTCTCTCTCTCTCTCTCAATTTTTTCTTTTTTTTTGTCTTGTTTGCTGATTCTCTGATTAATGCTTCTTTATTTTTTATTGTTTTACTCTCATATTTGGGAACTTCTCTTGTTGACAAGAAAGGAACGAAGGATAAGAGCTGGTCATTCTCAAGAACTTATACTTTCTGTTTGAAATCAACTTGATCTCTCCCATATTGATCTCAATTTTCATCTTATTAATTGTATTTATAATGAATCTTTCCATTTGAGATCTCATTCATCTCATCTTCTGTCTATTCTCCATTATTATTTTGTTTCAAAGTTTTTCAAAAAATTAATAAATATTCTTTTTCAACTGGTTATAACTGTCTTTGTGACTTGAACTCATTCAGTGGATATATTTTTGTGATTATACAACTTGGGATATCATACTTTGATTCTTTGTAGTTCGGTTATCTTCTCTCGACTTCCCTGACTTGCTCACACCGCCAAATGACCCGGTTGTTCTTTTCCGGGAAAATGCTGTTGTTCAGTTCACAATTGATGCATTTGGATGTTTAAACAATGTTTTATAATAGATTTTTATTATAAATGTAATTATAATGTTTGATTTGATTGAAAAATGAACTTTACTTAACGATTTCTGAAATTCCGATTGGAAATTGTCTATACAAAACCTTTGCGATAGAAAATCTAATAGAAAGTCTGAGAGATGCTCCATGGCTAATGGTCCAATTAGATATCGAATGGTGATGCAAAAAATAGTTTCAATATTCCTATTTCTTTTTCAATTTCAGTGTAATATTACAAATTTGATATGCATACGGTTTGATTACGATAGAGCTCACCTAAGCTTCTTCTATCTGGCCTTGTCCCCACCTTTTCTCACTTTTGTTTTATTTTTGTTTTTCTTCGAAGTCCACTTCACTGTCGGTTATGATGTTTGCTCTTCTCAAATGGTCTAATGCGTTGTTTCATTTCCTTCTCAGTTTCCTGGACTAATCACCGTTGGTCTCTCCATAGATGTACACATGTTACAGGTGAGTTGTTCTACTCGATCCACATCCTGCTGTCCATGTTGGTTCTAATGTTAGATCTTCCTCGCAAAGTTCCCTACGGTGTGAGTAGTCAACAGCATAGGGCGATATCCATGGAAATTCCCAAGCTAATAT